TCCTCCTGCCTCAGCCTCCTGAAGACCTGGGATTATAGGTGTGTGTCATCACAATCCTGCTAAAGTGTAACATTTTTTAGTGTACCTTATAATATCTTGTAAGGTACTAGAAATAGTAGTTCTACATAAGACAGCTTTGATTGTTAATTGTATTTTATCACATTTAAGATGTTGTTGCCTGTAACCAAGGGGGGAAAACCCACTGACAATATTAGAATGAATCATAACTTCAACGATGTTAAATGTGACCAAAACAACAATTTAGGGTGGGCTGTAGTAGTTCCTTATATCCAATATAGGAGCCTTTTGAGTGTTTGGATGATGTTTGCATTCTCTGTTACTTTCTGACCAATAGGAAACTTTAAATACCAATAACCAGGCCACTGCTGTCCCTGTAGCAGGTACCACTAGTTAGAACCTGGAGTTTTTCTCTCAGAACTCAGATTTGGTCTTAGACTCCTCCATATGAAGTAGCCCCAACTCTGTAGTTGGCTGATATACACTGATTCCACCTGCCCAGGTTAAGACTCTTATCTTTTTTTTGAGGAGGGGAGGCGGTACCAGGGATTGAACTCAAGGGCCCTAACTCTAACTCAGGAGCACTCAATCACTGAGCCACATCCTTAGTCCTATTTTGTATTTTATTAGAGACAGGTCTCACTGAGTTGCTTAGCGCCTTGCCAAATTGCTGAGGCTGGCTTTGAACTCAGGATCCTCCTGCCTCTACCTCTGGGATTACAGGTGCACACCACCACATTGGTCCTCCAAGACCCTCATCTTTCAAGTGTTGGCTTAGATCTGTTCACTTCTGAAAGATGATCACATGATCTTTCATTTAAGTATCTGCTCTTCTTTTTTCTTTCTTTCTTTCTTTCTTTTTTTTTTTGGTGCTGGGAATTGACCTCAGGGCCTTGGGCAAGGCAAGCACTTTACCAACTGAGCTATATCCCCAGTCTGAATTTGTTTTTTTCTTTCTTGTTGCAGGTGTGTCTTTCTGTTTTGAAAGCGGACCCAGCCCTGTTACCTGATGTCATTTCCCTTCAACCCACATTCCTATTCCCAAAACCTTGTTCCAGAGTGGGCACTAGTCCAGCGGGTCCTGTTGGGCATATCTTGGGATGACCTTCCTTTTGATTCTCAAGATAGGGAATGATATTATCTTGGTATGCTTAGCAATTACTCGGGTTTCAATAAAATATTTGAATCCTTCCTATCTGTTTTAAAAAAAATGGAAGAAACCGTTTTTTCCATAGAACAGAGTGATAGAGTCTTCAGGGACCTGACCAGAAACAAAGGAGTAAACCTGCTTGAGACTTTAGGGCCAGAGGTGAGTAGGGCAGCCAGGACATCCCTGTGCAAAGGAGTTTGTTATTGCTCTGCCACCAGTCCTTGCCCTGTAGAAATAAGGGACCACTATTTTCCACCTTTTCTATGTTTTTATTTTTTTAAGTATAAAAATCAGTTTGACAAGTGTATGATGCAGGTATAAATAGGAAGCAGTTTGCCATCTCTGCCCTCTGTTGGGTGTTAAGACGTGGTTGGTATGTGCTTGGTCACACACTGACTTGGACATTGTCTTTCACCCTGGCAATAATGTTGACTCCAGCCTCCAGCTTTGGCCATTCCTGAATTAGCGGGGTATGATCCCACCTCTTTACTTCTGGGTCCTTTTAATTGCAGCTTTCTTCCTCCCTTTGTCCCCTAGCTCATGCTGAGGGAATGCCTCTTGCATCTCTGTCTGCCCTAGCAGTTCTCCCACACCTGTTCAGCCATTTCCCTGTGTTACTGTTTAAAGTCCAGTGAGATTTCTATCCCACCCATCGAATCCTGACCAACAGTCTGACATGTTCAAAATGTATGGGTCCCATTCTGGCTTCTGTGGCTTGTAGGCACATGTTCATTTTCTTGGTCATTCTAAGTTTTTATCTTTTAGGTCATTTGAATGGATCTTTGTTGTTGTTGGCTTCTTGTGTTAGTTTCTTAGGGTAGTTGTAGCAAACAACCACACATTGGATGACTTGAAAATATTAGGAATTTATTTACTGGCATCTTCTGAAGGCCTGAAGTCTCAAATCCAGGAGTTGGCCATTCTGTGCCTTTTTTGACTCTTGGGGAAGACTCCTTCCTGTTCTTCACCCTGGCTTCTGGTAATTGCCAGCAGTTTTTGGTTCGTATCTATATCACTTTAAATTTCTGTGGTTTGCCTGCCTTTTTTTCCCCTGTGTGTCTGTGTTATCACATGGCTGCCTGTGAACACCAGTTTTGGATTCAAGACTCACCCTAATATAGCATCAATTTTTCCTTCCTTCCTTCCTTCCTTCCTTCCTTCCTTCCTTCCTTCCTTCCTTCCTTCCTTCCTTCCTTCCTTCCTTCCTTCCTCCCTCCCTC